TACTTGAAGTGCCAAAGGAAAAAAAAAGTTGAACAACTGACACAATCTCAAAAAGGAGCTATTGATAGGTTTTCTGTTAAAGGAAAAAAACTACAAAGTTCAATGGAGGACTTAGTTAATGAACAACACAATTTAACTAGTTGATGATTTGGGCCATGATGATGCTTCTAATGTCTTCACAGAACAACCAATTGAGTCAATTTCCTTGAACATTTATGATCCTCGAATTTGGGATGGTCTGAGATCCAGATGGATTCATTTGTTAGCAGAAAAAGGTCCTGCAAGAGATCTATCAATTAAGAAAAGTCCTAAAGTTCAGTTTAATAGGCGTTTTAATGCAGCATTTCAATTAGCAAATGAGGGCTACAAAGATTGGACACATCTCAGTATGAGGCTTAAAGAGCATGGAACCAATTATGATCATATCTCAAACATGACCACTTTAATTGATTTGCGTCTTAGATTGCCAAAAAAAAAAAGAAAAAAAAAAAAAAAAAAAAAAGAAAAGAAAAATGAAACATTGACAAAGCCGTGTAAGACCAAATCAAGAAAGAAAGAGAGCATTGGAGAGAGTTACTACAAATGTTGATTTCCATTGTGAAATATTTAGCTAAATACACACTAGCATTTCGTGGAAAGAACGAGAGGCTTTATCAAGAAATTAAAGGAAATTTTACCAGCCTAGTTGAAATGATGGTTGAATCTGATTCATTCATAAAGAATTATCTTCAACATTTTTAAAATAATGAATCATTATCTCTGTCATACTATCCATAATGATGATATTGTTGATATCTTGTGAAATAAAAAGTGCAACCATTCAAAAAATAAAATAACCTAAATATTTTACCGTGATACTTGATTGTACTCTTGATTTTAGCCACTAAGAATATATGACTTTGATCTTAAGATGTGTGGATGTGAATAGTACTCCAGTAAAAGAGAAGAATATTTTTGTAATATCTGAATGTGAATAACAAATCAGGACAAGGACTGTTTGAAGAGTTGCTGAAAGTGTTAAAAAGTCCTAATCTTGAAATTGATGACGTGAGAGGGAAATGATAGGATAATGGATCAAGAGGGAGACATCAAGGTCAATGTATACTCCATGTGGTTGCCATAATCAGTTAAAAAATTTGGTTCGACATTTTGAAATATTTTGACATGATTAGACGAGTGATAGAGATAATGAAATCGTTTTATGGTAAAATCTCTCTTCTAATACGCCATTCTGACATTTTAAACTTATTAAGCATCATTACGTGTTTTAACTTTTTTACATAACATAATTGACATGAATTACTGCAAAATTGGCGTCCCTACTTCATGGGAGGATGAGGTTAGATAGCTGCTTGAAAACTGTTGTAGCTTGAAACTCTCTCAGCACAATCCTCGGGATCTCACTTAGCGAATATGTTTCAAAGTATCAGTATTAACATATTCTTTTGGGTGCTCTTCTTACTCAAGTTAACAAATAATGTTGATTTATGTGGTTTATGTATAGGTGTTGGGTAAGGTTTGGTAAAATTTGTGTTTGGAGTAAAATTTGTGTTTGGTAACTCTGCTTATGTTCAAAGTCACAGGTCATTTTAAGCTGAAAAGTGGCAAAAAGCAGAAGCAGCAAAATGCTGCTTCTCAAAACAAGCCGTTTTTCAAGGAGGTGGGTGAACAGTAGAATTTAATGAAACTTTCACAATCTCAAAAATACCCTCCTTCGTTTCTCCTTCTTGCTGGGTTGAAAATCGAATCTTCATCGTTGATATTCTGATTTCATCGAATTTCAAATTTCGAAATCGAAATCCCATTGGAGTATTTTTCAACTCGCTGTCACATCGCATACCAAAGAAACAAATCCAAAACCCAGCTGTCAAAAACCATCAAGTGCTCGATCCAAGATGCACAATTTCACACAACAGATCTTCATAGCAAGCTCCTTCTGCAACTCCAAGAGGAAGGTGGATCGGAAAGTAATGGGGAAAGTAGTGGATGGCTGATGAGATGAAATTTGGAAACTAGTGGTAGTGGAAGTTATATAATTAGGGGAAAAAAAGTAGAAATCACAGTCTCAGAAATCAGAAAGTCGATCTTGTCGATGATCTTGAGGTAGATGAGAAGGAACTTCTGGACGATGTGGTCCTCAGAGTGGAGAAAATCAGATGAAAAAAGGCAAAAAGGATGACTATAGAATTCTAGATGGGAGAGAGAGACAAAGAGAGAAGGATGAGAGAGGGAGCGGGCGGCGGAAGAGGAAAGAAAATATACGTTTTGCAAAAGAGGAGAACCGAACATTGGAGAAGAAAATAGAATAAAAAATATTTCAATTGAAGTAGTTTGTCATACTAATTAATATTTAAGATAAAGTTTATAAATATTTTTATTTTAAAAATAAAGTATATTTAGTAATTCACCTTTATTTGTTAAGAAAATTAAATTAATGGCACATCTAGTATTATACCATTTTTGGTCATTTCATACAATCACAGCTGGTTACTATGATACTGCCTCCCCCCCCAAAAGCATAGCAATACCAAACTAGCCCTTAGGTGAAGCCTTTACAACTACAATATATGTATTTCAAACAAGTAATGTTAGGGAAAATCTACTTTTTAGATAACATTTGTAAATTATGTGATGTGTTACTAATAAAAAATAAGCACGTTAACCAATAAAATAATCGATAACAATCACACCATATGATTTACAAACACAAAATTTATAATACTAATTTATATTTTTAAAATAAAATATATTTGGGGAACCTCAGGAATGGAGGCTCTAGGCGGCCATCTACTATTGTTTTCATAAAATAGGTAATGAACTTTTAATTATGTAACCTCTCTCTCAAGCTTTATCTAGTTGCCTACCTCTCAAAGTCTATAAACTTTATATTTGAACAAACACAAGGAAGTAAACATGTTAATCAACGACTAAGTAATAATTCAATAATTAACAACTAATAGAACGTAAGCACATTAATCAACGGTTAAGTAATAATCTAATTATCAACAATCACATAATTTGATTTACATAAAATTTGGGGCCCTCAGAAATGTAAACCTAGGCGGCCGCCCACTCTGGTTATCACAAAATAGATTTAAAAAAATGTAACTTTAACAAAAAGCTTCTAGTACTGTTCGCTTTAACGAAAAACCACATTTTTATACTAAAAAGTCAATCATGGTACTATTTACTTTACCCTTTATTTTGCCCTTATCGTTAAAACTCAAAGTTTTCAAACATTTTTCATTAGTTTTCTTAAAAAAAAAAAAATTCAACTTTGAAACCTCTATCTCACGCTTTAACTAGTTGCCTCCCTCTCAAAGTTTCAGCTACAAAGAGAGAAGGTTGTAAATTCAAGTTTTGCGAGTAAACTGGTTGGGTCACAGATGAATTTTGATGAGTAGATTTTATATTATATATTTTACCCTAATCTTAGTATAATTTGGTTAATATTTTGGAAGAATTTTGATACTTTGAATTGTATTTTCAATATAGGACTTTCAACTTCCTCTGGAGCAAAACAGGACTAAATGGACGAATTTTGGAGTAATTCCAGTTGGAGGACGTTCGTGAGTCACTTATCTTGATCGTATCAAAATTTGGGATTTTTCCACCAAGCGGTTATTTTCTGGCGATGAAATAAAGAAGCAGTGCGCAGTGCTGGAAAATGACGTTTTTGGGCTTAAATGACGTTTTTGGAGCCCAAGATGACCTCGGATGGGTTCGTGGCCTTCTGGAAAAGTGTTCAGAATATCCCAAACATTAAATCCAGCTATATTGGGCCAGTTTTGAAGCAGCTTATGGGCCAAAACGTGGCTATTCAGATTTTAGACGAATTTTACTATTTTTAATTAGGGTTTTTATTAATTTTAGTTGGCTAGGGTTTGGGTGGTGGCTTGGAAACTATATTGTCTAGCCGTCTACAGTTTTAGATTACGCTTTATTTTATGCAATATTGGAGACAGAGAGAAGGGCTAGGGTTTTGAAGATTTTCTACTTGAAGGTGTTTTCAATCCTTTTCTTAATAATATTTTCTATGATTTCAATTATGAATATGCGGAACTAATTTCTTTTGCTAGGGCGAAACCTTGAGCCTTAGCATGAATATGTGATTTTTATTTAATTTCTTATGATTGATTGCATGCGGACTTTGAATTGTTAATCACCGGGATAAAAACTATCTAATTGTCGTAATGCCTGATCACCATTAGGATCTTTAGAAAAGTAATTTGATGCAATTTTGGTCGGAAGGTTCCCTGAAATTGACGCTGGCTTCTTGTGATTAATAATTGTAATTTCTTTTAGGATGAATATCACGTCTTAAGGATTGCATGGTTTTTCAAAGGATTTTCATAAAGCATAATGAGTCTTTCATGTTTAGATTTGATCCGAACGTCCGGACGGGTTGCATGTTAGATATACGTTCTATATTGGAGGTTCCAAGTAGAATATGAATTAGGAAAATCTAACCTTCAAAGTGGCATGTGTAGATCATAAGTAATGGGTAAAAATTCATAGGATTGCTAGGTGATGGTGGAACCCTAGTGCCTTCTTAATTTGATTTTCTCATAACTGTTTTCTTCTCTCTAGCTTTAATATTGCAGATTATCTATTTTAATTCATTAAATTCGTTTTTACTTTAAGTAGGTTATAAAATCAATCATCCAAATTTCTACTTTAATCATTAATTGAAATCTGATTTGTTTCAAATTATTTAATAATCCCGGTGGAGAATGACCTTGCGAGATCCGTTTATACTACAATAACCTTGTGATTCTTGCAAGTAAAATAGGAGGTTTTTATCGCATTCACATGAGTAGTAAAAATCCCTATCAAGAAAATGGCGCCGTTGCCGGGGATTATTTAAAATAATCCCTACGAATCAGATTTTCAATTAGTTATTGCTGTTTATACATATAAAAAAAAAAAAATTAATTTTCGTTTTATTTTATTTTTACAGATTATAACAGTACAACAGTGCAGATTTCTGAAATCTGTGCATGGTCAGCACCCGTTCAACAGTGCAGAAATTGATTCCACTTGATCCAGAACTTGAGCAGAATTTAAGGAGGAGGCGCAGAGAGCAAAATTTGCAGCGGGTTCGTCCTCTGCAGGAGACTTTTCTGCAATCAGACTTTGACCTGCACAACAAAGAAAAAATGGCGTTTGTAATTCCAGAGGCAGGTCTGCCCCTGGGTGATTCACTGACAGCCCATATAACAAATATACCCAGTTGCATTACATATCCGACAGTGGAGGAAGGGACTGCATTTGAAATAAAACAGCACATGTTGAATATTCTACCTACGTTTCATGGGTTATCATCTGATGATCCTAACATGCACATTGCAGAATTTTTAATGGGGTGCAAAAACATTTTGGTGAGGGGATTTTCAGCTGAATCTATTAAGTTGCGGTTATTTCCATACACTCTAAAAGATCAGGCAAGGAGATGGCTCCTCACACTCCCATCAGGAAGCTTTACAACTTGGGCCCAACTCAGTGAAAATTTTTTAAACAAGTATTATCCGGCTTCTAAGACCCTTGACATAAGAACACAGATTTTATCTTTCGCCCAAAAACCGAATGAAGAGTTTCATGAGGCGTGGGAGCGATTTAAGGAGTTGATTAGAAAATGTCCACATTCGGGTATTAACACTACTGATCAAATGCACATATTTTTCAGAGGGTTGAATATGACTACAAAAACTCTTGTCAACGCATCATGCGGAGGTAATTACAAAGACAAAAATGCACAAGAGGCTTGTTTGTTATTTGAAAAAATGGCAGAAGATACTCAGCAGTGGGCAGTGGAGCAGCCACAATCTAGGTCAGCTTTTGAGATGTCTACTGGTTCTCCATATGTTACAGCACAAATTGAAAAAATGGAGAAAAGGCTTGACGCAAAATTTTGACATGTTATTACAAAGAATGCCAGGTTCTCAAGGTTGCTGTACAGCAGTCCTTTACAATCTGCCTGCAGCATTTGCAGTTTGACAAATCATGATTTTTTGAGCTGTCCACATAAAGATGCTTATCCGGAGTTTATGGCGGAGCAGGTTAATTCATTCAATAATTTTCAACGTCCCAGATATGACCCGTATTCAAATTTCTACAACCCAGGTTGGAGAGATCATCCTAATTTAAAGTGGGACAAAGATCAACACACTAGGCCTCAATTTCAACAGCAGGTACCACAACATGCTGCACCTAAGGCTGCTTGGGAAGTTGCAATTGAAAAATTAGCAAATACTACCAGTCAAGAAATCCAAAATCTGCATGCATCAATGAAAAATATGGAAAAACAAATTGGGCAAATTGCTTTGCAGGTTTCAGAAAGGGCACCAGGTTCATTTCCTAGTCAAACAGTACCTAATCCAAGAGGACGAGAGGAATGCAATGCTGTACACACTTTACGGTCTGGCAAAAGTTACATCAGCAAACATGAAAATTCTGTTGAAAATTCGCAGGCAGCAGAACTGCCTCAACCTAAATCTGCAAATTTTGCAGATTCTGAAATTTCTGCAGATTCTGGGCAGTCTCAAGAAAGATCCGAAAATACTGCAGAAGCTACCACAAAAACTGCAGAACGTGTTTATGAGCCTCCTATGCCCTACCCAGAAAGGTTGAAGCCTAAAGCTAAAGATCAACAGTTGACAGATTTTATGAAAACTCTGGCTAAGGTTCAAATTAATCTTCCATTAATTGATGCAATCAAGAACATTCCATCTTATGCCAAGTTTTTGAAGGACGTTTGTACAAAGAAAAAGAAGCTTGTGGATTCCGAAAAAGTGATTCTAACAGAACAGTGCAGTGCGGTCTTATTGCATAAATTGCCTCCAAAGAAAAAAGATCCAGGGAGTTTTACTATCTCTTGCACCATTGGAAATTGTGATTTTAGTAGTGCTTTAATTGATTTAGGTGCTAGTGTAAACTTAATGCCATATTCTGTTTTCAAACGTCTAGGTGAAGGGGAGCTGAAGCCAACCTCCAGTATTATTCAATTGGCTGACCGTTCAATTACCTACCCTAGAGGAGTCATTGAAGATGTTATTGTGAAAGTTGACAATTTATATTTACCGGCTGATTTTATGGTGTTGGACATGGATGAGGATTTGACAACGCCCATTATTTTGGGCCGCCCATTTCTGGCAACAGCCCGGACTCTTATTGACGTTGAAGCCGGAACATTAACATTCCGGGTTGAAGATCAAACTGTTGTTTTCAAGTTCTTTGAAGCAAGCATACATTCAGGTGACGAGCAAGAATGCATGCGTGTTGATGCATTGGATGGTTTACCAAGTGCCAAGTTTATGAACAGATCATCAACTGACCATCTGTCCATAAAGCCTCCAAATTTAACTCGTGATTGTACAAGTCCTAAACCACAGCAGCAAATGGTGCTACATGAAGACCAGCCAATTAACACTATGAAAAAATATGAAAATTTGCCAAGCAGCCCAAATTTTAAGAAAATACAGCCTGGTAAAAAAGTGTGGTTATTAAGTTCAGATTTCAAGACATTTCCAGGGAAACAAGAGTCTCGATGGAAAGGCCCTTTTCTGGTTACAAAAGTTTTTCAGAATGGTAATGTGGACATTAAGGCTAAGGGCACAGATTTCTCATTGAAGGTGACCAAACATCAACTAAAACCATGCATAGAGAAATTTGGTGTAGGCGAGTTTTTGACTCTGAAGGCACCAATGATCTAGCCACCGGACTTCCGCAACGTCTAGCTACAGACTTAAAATAAAGCGCTAACTGGGAGGCAACCCAATTTTTCTAAACTCTTTCCTAATTTTAATTTTCGTTTGATTTTCTCTTTAAGATAAAAAAATATATATATATATATTAAAAAAAACATACATAAAAAAAAATAAATAAAAAAATAAAGAAATTCGGAAAAAAATGGAAGATTGCATATTGATTTTATTTACCCAGTTTATTTGATTTTATTTTAATTTTTTGACGCATATTGGTTAATTGCAGGTTGCGAACGTGAAAAATAAAGCGCGTCCTATGCTGGAATCCTGCACCCAACAGCAAGTCTAACGTTCACATCAACCACATCTACACTATGCTGGAAATTTAAAGCAGTCAACATAAAAAATCATTCACAGATGCAAGTTTGGGGGAGATTGTTGCAGATCCAGCACAAAAACAGAATTTAGAGCAATTAATTTTCTGCAGCTCAGTTTTGCGATGCATGGAGGAAGCACAATTAAATCACAGATCCATACACCACAGAACTGAGTACAGCTATTATTACTAGATCTACAACAATTCCACTTGCAAGGATAGGAAATTTTACCTCCCAGATTCACCGATCTGGGCTCTTGGAAGCTTGTGCTGTTTGTTTAATGCAGCTGATATTTGTCCACCCTTCTGTTTCCTTGGCTCTATCATTGATCTGTATACCCCTACACAAAGAGCACAAATATTAGGGAATGCAGGACATCGAACGAGCATCTATACAGATCAAAAACAGAACTAACCAGATTCATGAGTTAGCAACCAGACTATTTTTCACCAGATTTATTACTCTTGCATTGGAGTTGAATAGTATGTCATTATTAAAGTCTGGGATGGTTCTTCATTATGTCCTCTAACGGTTCTTGTTCATATGGTATACCTGTATTTTCTCAGTTCAGAGATCCAAGTTATTCAAGTGATTGTATGTGTTCAGTTCGTATGGCATCAGCAATAAAATGTAGTTGAATATGTAAATGTTGAGTCCAGCAGAAGCAGAAGTACAAGATCGTTACCTTATTTATTTGCAGAGCCGAGACATTCTTCATTTATGCTGCCTTCAGGAACCACTAGACCGGAAGCTCACGGTTGTTGTCTCTCGGTTGTACGCTGGAGTTGAGGGAAAAATTTTCAGTCACAGTAGTGGTTTTATTATTCAAATCTCAGATCATCATTCATCCATCAAAAGGGTTACGGGTTTTACCTCAACATTTGCAGATCCTTGGTTGAGCTGAGCTGCTGACTCCGGGGGTGTTCTTGTGTGGTTGTCTCGGATTTGAAACCATTAGGGCTCTTCCCACTGATAAACCACATGCAGGTGTTAGTGTTTGTTCCAGATCTCTCCAACAAATTAATTGGACAATGAAACCCCAAGATTGGAGGGTGATTTTACCTTTGGGTTTCCGTTTTTCCGATTTTCCACCACGGCGGGGTACTCACGGAGGTGCGCGTTGTTGGGTTATGGAAGGCTACGGATGCATCAATCTGTGAGAAACTGAGACATACATAGAACAATCAAATGCATCAGTCAAAAACATTTTTCATTTTACTCTTGGTGATGAAGTTTGCAGAAATGAAGCTACATCTTTACATTTGAACGAACAAAAAAGGAGACATGGCATGGCTTCATTTTTTACCTGCAAAGGGAGGATTTTTGGACGAACTGTTTTAGATCTGTTCGTTTGAGTCTCGGTGTTGCGGACCAGAGCACTATTATAGAGGAATCAGACATGCCTGTGTTGCTCCACCATACATGGGATCCGAGGGAAATGCGAAAAAGAAACTAAATGGAAGGGAGAAGGTTTTTGCATTTTCTGGAGCAATGAAGAAGAGAGAGAGAGAGCGGAGAAAAATGGGGTCAGAGGAAAATGGAGAGAAGGCTTTTGAGTTTTTGAGATCTGATACTGTTTTCTGCTATTAAAGAGAGAGAGGTTGAAGGTTTTCGGGGTACTAGACATGGGGACTTGGGGATGCGGCATTATTATTTTATTTCTCAACACGGATTGGTTTGAAAAAAATAAAAAATAAAGAAAGGCATGAAAGGAGCCGTTTGGCTCGGTACTCGACGACAGAAGGGAATCCAATGGACTGGTGCAGTTTTTTATGTGGGTGCCCTGACTGACAAAATATTTTTACCACATCTGCATGCCATTCTCACGCTAATTCCACGGCTAGGCGTGGCTTGTATTTGGCCATTCATTTATCACTCACACATCACATCCGTGTGCCAGCATTCCCATGCCTACTCTTTATCACATGCATGCTGTGATGTTTTCCAAAGGCGCCAGGTTTTATGCCTTCCTTTCTTGTTACTACTTTTCCTTGTTATAATTATTATTTGTTAGTTTAAGTTTATTTTATTTTTGTCATTTTTTTTATTATTTATTTATTTATTTATTTAATTTTTTTTTTTTTTTTTTCCACACCTTGAGGACAAAGTGTGAAATAAGTTTGGGGGTGGGAAAGTAAGTTTTAGTTTTTTTATTTTTGTGTCGTTTAAAAATTTTCATTCTTGCTAAGTTAATATCCATAGATTATTTTAAACGTTAGAACAAATGGACATGGTAAAGATTAATCCCACATTAGAGTCTTTTCTATTTATCGTTACTTAGACACTAATTCATGAATTATACTTTGAACTTTGCACATCACACCAACATGGTTTGTGGGGAGTGAGATTGAAATACTTGCTTTTAGTCTAAGTTTATTTTTAATTTTTAATTTTTGTTTTAAGTAAAGTTAGTTATTATTGTGAATAAAGTAATAATTGTCTCACCCGAGGTTTTGCCTAGTAACCGGGCCAGTCCTGCCTAATCAGCAGTGATTCTCGCGTCAAACGGTAGAGTTTTGGCATGAGGCAGGGTGGTTAGTTGGTTTCGTAGCCTTTTCAGCTCGGGTTAATAAGTCCTTAGGGGTGTTCTACACCTAGTGCCCTAAAGCCCTAGTGGTTTGGGAGTCATTGACCTAAAGCTCGTTACATGGGTTGGATTGAAAGCTTAAGTGAACCGACATTGCACGACCACTACTGTTACTGGAAAAAAAAAAAAAAAAAAAAAGTGAAAAAGAAAAAAAAAGAAGAAAAAGAAATAGAGTTATATTTAAAGTTAGTATGTGTGAAATAAATAAGGACGAGAGGTAAGGGTTTTAGTCGAGTCCCCTTAATTATGTTGGTTCACTTTACACCAAAGGAAGTTTGTGAATTCTTTTCTAATTGATTCTAAATGGCTTAGACTCTGTGGTGGGATTAGTTGGAACTTTTGAAAAGATGTTCTAGTTTTTAAAATTTGCTATGGATGGCAACTTTGAAGGTGAAAATTTTTGTCAGTTAATTTTAGCTAGTTGTTTAGTTTGTTAAGTTTTTATTTTTGTTTGAGTCTTGTTTTGCTTGAGGACAAGCAAAAAGCTAAGTTTGGGGGTATTTGATGAGTAGATTTTATATTATATATTTTACCCTAATCTTAGTATAATTTGGTTAATATTTTGGAAGAATTTTGATACTTTGAATTGTATTTTCAATATAGGACTTTCAACTTCCTCTGGAGCAAAACAGGACTAAATGGACGAATTTTGGAGTAATTCCAGTTGGAGGACGTTCGTGAGTCACTTAGCTTGATCGTATCAAAATTTGGGATTTTTCCACCAAGCGGTTATTTTCTGGCGATGAAATAAAGAAGCAGTGCGCAGTGCTGGAAAATGACGTTTTTGGGCTTAAATGACGTTTTTGGAGCCCAAGATGACCTCGGATGGGTTCGTGGCCTTCTGGAAAAGTGTTCAGAATAGCCCAAACATTAAATCCAGCTATATTGGGCCAGTTTTGAAGCAGCTTATGGGCCAAAACGTGGCTATTCAGATTTTAGACGAATTTTACTATTTTTAATTAGGGTTTTTATTAATTTTAGTTGGCTAGGGTTTGGGTGGTGGCTTGGAAACTATATTGTCTAGCCGTCTACAGTTTTAGATTACGCTTTATTTTATGCAATATTGGAGACAGAGAGAAGGGCTAGGGTTTTGAAGATTTTCTACTTGAAGGTGTTTTCAATCCTTTTCTTAATAATATTTTCTATGATTTCAATTATGAATATGCGGAACTAATTTCTTTTGCTAGGGCGAAACCTTGAGCCTTAGCATGAATATGTGATTTTTATTTAATTTCTTATGATTGATTGCATGCGGACTTTGAATTGTTAATCACCGGGATAAAAACTATCTAATTGTCGTAATGCCTGATCACCATTAGGATCTTTAGAAAAGTAATTTGATGCAATTTTGGTCGGAAGGTTCCCTGAAATTGACGCTGGCTTCTTGTGATTAATAATTGTAATTTCTTTTAGGATGAATATCACGTCTTAAGGATTGCATGGTTTTTCAAAGGATTTTCATAAAGCATAATGAGTCTTTCATGTTTAGATTTGATCCGAACGTCCGGACGGGTTGCATGTTAGATATACGTTCTATATTGGAGGTTCCAAGTAGAATATGAATTAGGAAAATCTAACCTTCAAAGTGGCATGTGTAGATCATAAGTAATGGGTAAAAATTCATAGGATTGCTAGGTGATGGTGGAACCCTAGTGCCTTCTTAATTTGATTTTCTCATAACTGTTTTCTTCTCTCTAGCTTTAATATTGCAGATTATCTATTTTAATTCATTAAATTCGTTTTTACTTTAAGTAGGTTATAAAATCAATCATCCAAATTTCTACTTTACAATCATTAATTGAAATCTGATTTGTTTCAAATTATTTAATAATCCCTGTGGAGAATGACCTTGCGAGATCCGTTTGTACTACAATAACCTTGTGATTCTTGCAAGTAAAATAGGAGGTTTTTATCGCATTCACATGAGTAGTAAAAATCCCTATCAAATTTCTTGACTTATTGCATAATAATCCCATGTCTATACTCTCTCTTGTATTTCTTAGTTCAAGCTCTCAGATCCAATCCCAAAAGGCTTCTTCTTCCACTTGGACCAAAGCCATTTCCCATCATTGGCAATCTCTTGGAGCTCGGCAACAAGCCCCATCTCTTTCTCACTAACCTGTCAAAACGTTACGGCCCCATTATACCTTTGCAACTCGGACAAATAACCACAGTTGTGAGGCTGCTCTGCTTGTGGCTTATGTTGCCTTGGTTGGCTCAGCTTGTGGCGTTGAAGGTGAGGGAGTCCCTTTTATAGAATAAGGGCTCGCTCCTCAATACATAAGTGATGGGATAAGAGTTGATGCTCGCGGCGAGACGGTTGCTCAACTGGTGGCAATGCTCTCTAATGATGGTGAGGGAGTCCCTTTTATAGAATAAGGGTTCGCTCCTCAATACATAAGTGATGGGTGCTCTCTAATGAAAGTGAGGGAGTCCCTTTTATAGAATAAGGGCTTGCTCCTCAATACATAAGTGATGGATTAGGAGTGATGTTGGCGGCGAGACGGTTGCTCAGCTAGCGGCGATGCTCTCTAATGAAGGTGAATGAGTCTCTTTTATAAAATAAGGGCTCGCTTCTCAATACATAAATAATGGGTGCTCTCTAATGAAAGTAAGGGAGTCCATTTTATAGAATAAGGGTTCACTCATCAGTACATAAATAATGGGCTAGAGTCCCCTAAGTATTTTTCATGAGGCCCAGTTGCGGAAGCCCAATATATGGTACATAATGTAGTCCCCCAAGTCTTCAATCAATAGAGGTTGTTGGCTGGAGACTTCAAATTCAATCCATGTATGGGCCGAAGTGGCGGTTGTTCGGAGGCGGTCTTTGTAGACCATGCACTGAAGCTTTGTAGGCGAAGCTTTGCAGGCGAAGCTTTGCAAGTGAAGTTTTGAAGCTGAAACTTTTGTAAACGAAGCTTTTGAAGCTGGAGCTCACAAAGCTGGAGCTCTGTAAATGAAGCTTTCGAAGCCGATTGACATGAGTGATGCTCATGAATGTTTGTGTTGATTGACATGAGTGATGCTCATGGATGTTGACATGAGTGATGCTCATGAATGTTGATATGAGTGATACTCATGAATGTTGACATGAATGATGGTCATGAATGTTTATGTATGATTGACATGAGTGATGCTCATGAATGTTTATGTATGATTGACATGAGTGATGCTCATGTATAATTTTGGAGTACTAGACGTACTTTTGATCACCTGGTTGGTGATAATAGTGGCAGGCTACCGAATAATTTTGGAGTACTGGGCGTACTTTCGATCACCTGGTTGGTAATAATAGCGGCAGGGTGCCGAATAAATTTGGAGTACTGGACGTACTTTTGATCACCTGGTTAGGGATAATAGCGACAGGTTGCCGAATAATTTTGAAGTACTGGACGTACTTTTGATCACCTGGTTAGTGATAATAGCGGCAGCCTGCCGAATAATTTTGAAATATTGGACGTACTTTTTTTTTTGGCATGCTGCCTTCTTTCTTTATTTACCATCTGATGGGGTTATACAAATGTCTCCAACATATAAGAAAAGTAAATCACATCATTAAAAAAAATAATAAATAAATAAAGCAGTCGTTGGGGAACTACACTCCCATTCATGATGAAAGTTTCATCTTTTTCAGAATGTTGATGGGTATCTTCTGGTCCAACAGAAAGTGGAGACGGGGAACCTTGGTGGGCATCTTCTTATCTTTAATCATGTTATCCCGTGGGATAGTGGAATAGTGGAGCATATTAAATAAAAAAAGTAAAGCAGTCGTTGGGGACCAGACGTGGTGTCCAGCATGCTGTCATATCTCTACGAACCCCTTTCCAGCGAGACCGATGCCATTGCCTAAAATTTCAGAAACCCCATTTCACTCCACTGTTGGTCTCTCTGTTCCCGCCAATGTGGCTAAAAATCCTCATCCTCCACTACCCCAAAGTGCCTTTCCGCCGCTCCAAGTTCCTTCGGTAATGTCGATGTGGTTGAGGTTGAGGACGAAAGTGCCAATTCCGACACGGTGGGTGGTGTTGCAAGGAAGGGTGTGAGAGGATTGGGGAATCCAATACACGAGCATCGAATACATAGGCTTTGCATGATAGTACCAAAATATTTCCTTTACTGCAACTTCAACAAGATTTACTCGTTCTATAGGCAACTTGATCCAAACACCCTTTTTCCCCTGAAGCTTCCAATGGGCAATCGAAGAGGTAAGTAATGAAAGGAAGGTGGCAGGATCCATGAGATCATTTTCGTTGATGTGGACGATGACACCTTCGTAATGGTCATGTGTACCACTTAGAACAAGACTTTCTGAACTAGTTTCACCTTCAGTAGATCTTGGCTTTGGGCCACGTGGTCGTGGGTTGACCCATAAAATCCCGTCAGCTGATAGATTCTCAGAAACCCATTTGCAGACAGTAATTACATCTTTAATTTCTGCAAACCCAGTGAGAGAGGTCCTCCCTGTTGACTTCCCAACCCTTCTCATGTCAAAGGTCAAAGCTTTATAGCCTCTGTCTGCCAACCCAGCTGCTATTCCTCTTAACAGGCTTTGGCAGCCGTTGAGGACGGAGTATGGGTGCACCAGAACCACCACATGGCTGCCCTTCTTGATCTCTTCTTCTTCTTTGGTTTGAAGAGTTATGCGCTGAGCTTGACTCCATCGCTGGTCTCAACTATGCAGCCCTCCACCATACAATTTGACATCAGAGGAAGTGAGAGAGAGAGAGAGGAATCGCAATCTTTCGGTTTTCAGCTTTTTCTGTTGTTGTTATTGGGTGGGGGAGTTGAAAGAGTGCTGCGGATTGATTTGGAGGACAGAGTTGTTGGGTTTGTGAGAGCCATTGATGTTGCCTCTCTCTCATCCTCTTCTTTCTTCTTTTTTACTGTCTGAAAAGAAAACTGGAATTTCTAGAGAGAGAAAGAGAGAAGTAGGAAAGAGAAAGAAGGTATTTGGTGAGGAGGCTACTTGCAGAGAGAGAGAGAAAATGAACTATTCGGTTTTTTTGGAAAGCTTTGGGTTTCATTTGGTCTTTGCAAATTTTGCAGATTCACGGCGGAGGTGAAAAAATGAAAGAGAACCACAACCTTTCGTATTGTTTCCCACAAACGGTGCCAAATGTTGATGCACAAAACTGGAAGGGTCTTAGAACAACGTAAATCCGACCGTGAATATGCAAGAAAGTAAAGAACACAAGATGTATCGTGATTCACCCTAATGTTTGGGTTACGTCTACACTGATATTGTATTTCTCTGTTTGTGAGAGGATTGTGAGGGTGAGAGCCTCAGAGAAGGAGAGAGTTTGAAAGTGTGAGGGGGTTGCTGGATATGAGCCTCTCTTTGGGGATGTGAGGCTTCTGTATGTGAGGATGAGAGCCTTCTGGATTGTGAGGGTGATGAGGCCCTTTTATAGACTAAGGGCTCCTCCCATTTTTACATATTTGGCCCTTCATTTATTACATAATTACATTTGAGTCCTCCGAGTATTTATACGAAATCTAAATACTGAGGCCCTAAGTATGGTACAAACATCTTTAAACTGGTTTCTAGTTGATTTATTTAATTTGTTTTTTTATTAAATTAAATTCTAAAATCAACATTTTCCAAACTTTATTTCAAATTAATTAAGAGTTGGTTTTCAATACAAATTATTCATTCAATATGTGAAAAATGACGTTACTTGAGTATGACAACCTTGTACTCGTACAAGTATTTTTAAGTGTTTTTATTCTTACTTTTGCAAACGGTAAAAGTCCTATCAATGATGAAAGACGACAGAGCCCAATGGGCCTGCATTGTACTCTATGGTAAAGTTTCCGAGAGCATGAAGCTTCACCCCATTGTTCTCATGTTGTACGGTTTTTGATCTCTCTACTACATACGGCAGGTAAGCGCCCAAGACCTTTTCTCTGTATCTCTTATGGAAACTGACCTGAATTGACTTGTTCTCAGATACTTCAATCGAGGTGGCTTTCAGCTTGTAGTCAAATTTCTATCTTCATGTTTCAGTACAATAGAATTCCCATACCAACTTGGTTATTTCAAATCCATCGATGAGCTTTTCAACCTTGTTGATGGTGACAGAGAAATTATTCTGTCTTGCGGACTTTGGGCACCTTGAGCTGTTTGACAGAATGGGTGATCCTTGTGCTCAAGTAGGTTTCAGAATCCTGGTAAATTTCATTGATAGAGATGCCACCGAACTCATCGATGATGAGAGTCAGTTGAGAATTGGGAAGGTTTCCGAATTAGGCCTCCGAGTGTGGCGATGATCTGTCGAGGAGTTTTTGAGGTATGAGCTGGGTGGTTATGATCTGGAGCTCATTGATCACTGTCCTGGCCAGCATTGCTCCTGCAGCAAAAGTTATGTAAGTTGATAGGACTAATGCCGTTGAAGGCATGTTTGCTAGAGAAAACATCTTTCAATGTGGGTTTTTGTGTTTGCTGGTTTGTTGAGTTGAGTTCGAAATATTGTCCACCTCTCACGCCATATGCTTTTTCCTTTTCCCCTTCTCCTATATCTTCTCGAGAAATTTTTCATTGTGACGGGAGCATGGGTGGTACACCATGTGTTTTTATATAAGTGGTGAGAAATTATATTTTTTAAGTTATTAACTTTTTAGCACACATATTCCGTGACACGTGGTGTACCACTCCGTATTTCAGTCACACTAAAAAATCTCTCTATCTCCCCTCCCCACTGCTCTTTTTTCCACGTACACATTAAACGCGAATTCATAATTTCATGTTAACTAAAGATAAATTTTGAAATTACTGAGACAATTCAAGTAGTTAGAGTGATGCAGACTTCAATTAAAGTAAGATATTTACCAATTCAAGTGTATTAAGTTGGAAATTGAAGATTTAGGTATGATTTTTTTTATGTTGTACTCTTCAGGGCAAAACTCATAGAAATTAATCAAGTAATCGGCATATCAAGAGAGGAGTAGTCACAAAAAACCACTAGACAAACGCGCATTGCAGAATACCAGGTTTCATTGTTCATACATTATAATTTCATTGTGACCTTGTTTGAGATACAAAAGATGGCAACTACTAGAGAAGTTAAACAATTGACTCACTCTAAAAATAAGCTATTGATAGGTTCTTTGCTAAAAAAAAACAACAAAGTTCAATGGAGTACTGAGTTAATGACCAACATAATGATAATGAGGAATCAGTTGATGATTTTGGGCCATGATGAAATTGACGACGACCTTGATGAGAATGATAATCATGAGGATGCTCCTAATGTATTCACTAAACAATCAAGTGAGTCAATTCCCTCGAACATTTATGATTGTCAAATTTGGGATAGTAATGAATTGATTTATTAGCAAAAAAGGTCATGCAAGAGATCTATCAATTGAGAAAGATCCTAAAGATTAGTTTAATAGGCATTTTAATGCAGTATTCTACACTCGATACTTATCCAAGAAACATGTTATATATTGGCTAGTGTATTCACAGGGTGCTGTTTTTGTGGGAAATTGTTCAAGAAACGGCCTCTCAAAGCTCAATATGCAAAATGAGGGCTACAAAGATTGGACACATCTTACTGTGCAGCTTAAAGATCATGAAATCAGTTATGATCACATCTCGAATGTGACCACTTGGATTGATTTGCTTCTTAAATTGCAAAAAAATTAAAAAAAAGAAAAAAAAAAAAAGAAAGAAAGAAACAATTTGACAAAATTGTGCAAAACCAGATCAAGAAAGAAAAAGAGCATTGAAGGAAATTACTACAAAGGTTCATTATCTTAGTCATACCACTTAGAATGAGTTGGTATTGTTGATATCTTATGAAATTAGAGGAGCAATCATTTTAAAAATAAAAATAAAAGAAGCTAAATATTTTACGATGATACTTGATTGTACTCTTGATTTCAATCACTGAGAATAGATTACTTTTATCTTAAGATGTGTGGATGCGAATAGTACTCCAGTAAAGGTAGAAGAATATTTTTTTGCAATTTCTGAATGTAAATAACACAACAGGACAATGATTGTTTGAAAAGTTGCAGAATGTGTTAAAATTCTTGATCTAGATATTGATGATGTGAGATGGTAAGGATATAATGGATCAAATTTTAGAGAGACACAATGAGGCATACAAAAGAGACTTTTGGATGCAAATGTACACTACATGTGCTTGCCATAATCACATTTAAAATTTTGGTTCAACATTTTGAAACAACTTCACTCGATTAGGCGAGAGAGAGGGAGAGAGAGAGAAAGAGAGAGAGAGAGAGAGAGAGAGAGAGAGAGAGAGAGAGATAATGAACTCGTTTTAAGGTAGAATATCTTTCTTAGCATGCCATTGTGGCATTTCAGACTTGTTAAACATAATGATGTATTTTGACTTGTTGGCATGATATTATGTAATTGATTTTAGTCACTGCAAAATAATTGGCATCCCTGTTTATTACACCCCACCTCCATTTTATTTAAAAATGGTTTTTAGTTCTTAACTGGTGAGCCCAAGGGCCCACCCCTTTATTTGTGTTCCCTCCCTGTGACCTTCTTCTTTCTCTCTCTTTCCCTCTTTTTTCTCTCAACTCTCTATGCACTCTCTCCTTCCTTCCCCGAGTATCATCACACACACACCCATACATACATATAGCCAACAGGAGAACTTCATCATCTGACCTTCATCGTTCTCTCCCTCACCACCCTGCGATCTCTTTCTCGTCTAGGCACTGTGCACAGTCACGGTGCACGTGATTTCCGACAAGGTAAGTCAAAAACACCCTTCGATCTTCCTTCCTAGTAGTCTAGAAGGCTCAGTGGTTGTTAAAATATGGTATTTGGTGAAGGTTTAGACGTGAAAACAACTCGGGGAGCTTTCCCCATATTTTCGGCGAGGATTCCGTCACTTTCGAGACAATTTCCGGCCAAACCGCAGTGATTTGGCTAGCGTGCAAGGTATCAATCTCTTTGTCTCACTAACTACTACAACTTTCCTTTTTGTTTCACCCAATTTCGTTGAATATTGAAGAAGTTATATCCATTTGAATCTTACCCAGTTTCCGGCGACCTCCAAGACTTTCGAGGCGTTTTCCGGACAAACCACAGTGATTTAGATGTCGTGCGTGTACCATTCTCTTCTTCTCTTCGAGGGCTACGATTTTTGTTTTTGAATCACTTGATTTGGTTGATTATTGACAAAGTTATGAACGAATAAAGTTCGAGAATATTCCGGCCGAATTCCAGCCTTCTTCTTCCTTGGTCTGGCGACCCATCAAACATAGGCCCTTCGGGCCTTTCCTGCCGAGCCCAACCCAAACCCATTTCTCTTTTTATTTTGTTTTAATTTTATTTTGTTTAATTAAAGGCCTTTGGGCCATTGCTGTGAGGGCCTAGGGCCCGTGCACTTTAAACCCCAAACCCTTTTTTTTTAGTTTAGGCCTTTGGGCCTAGAACCCTCCAACCCTTTTTATTTTCTGTTTTATTTATTTTTGGTTTTAAAGGCCATTGTGTCTTATATGTTAAAGCTCTAAACCCTTTTAATTTAAAAACCTAAACGCTTTTAGTTTAAAAACCTAAACCCAACCCACCTAAAAGTCTAAGCCTAAACCCTTGAACCCTTCCAACCCTAAACCCTAGCCGGCTCAAACCTTTTTGTGGAATATTCCATCAGAATATTCCGTCAAGGAATATTCTCTGGAATATTCTATTGACGTTTGCGAAATTATCCGGGACCCTTCTTAGGGTAATTTGACATTCTGAATCCGTTTCCGACGTCTATTTTCCTAAATTAAATTGTTTGAGTATGGTTTTATTAATTGGACCCTTTACGTGCTTAGGGGCAATTATTGTGGCGTTTCCGTATTTGGTAGTTTGCGTGACTCTTCGGCCGCTAAGTATCTGTGAGTGGACCCCTTCTAAAAATGCATGTTTTAATAATAGAAATGCATACGAAAAACATGATTTGATGATTACGTTTTATGAAACGTTTTGTGAGATAACATGCTTACTGAGGCTAGTTTCAATTATTACTATTTTTCCTATAACCCATGTTCTTATAGAATATCTGATGGATGACGATAAGATATCTAGAACATGTTTCGAACACCTCTTTATAGTATAGATGATGAATGACTTTATACTATGAAGTTGCTTTTCAATATATATATGTTCAATGGTTTTGTACTTACCTAGTGGTCATTTCCACTACGGGACGTAGAGATAGATTCCGGTCCGTCCCGAGCGACAGTTTGGTGTTGGCATAGGGCTTGGAGTGTGTTTCCTCTGGCTATTTAGCACAGGGACGGGAAGCCGGCATGGGGCCTGGAGTGTATTTTCCTTTGACTGTCTGCTCAGAGACGGGGAGCCGGCATGGGGCCTGGGGGTTATTGGACAATTCACTAGTGATTATTATATATACAAGTTATGATTTGAGACATTGCACGGCATGCTAGGTTTCGGAAAACCTATGTTTATCATGATATATATGTGTTTTCATAAAACCTGGGGGTTAGTATGTTGATAACTGTTTTATTATATATATAGCAACTTGGTCTCCTCATGTTTGTTTTGCGCCCCATTCAGGACTTAGAATCGAGGCATACAATCCCGACGTCATGACACTTCCGCATCAGCATCTTCGAGTTTTCTCGGTGTAGGACCCATTCTTTTATTCTTTGAATTTTATATTATTTCTTTTAGTGTTCTAGTTAGTTGTATGCTCTGAACACGTTCCTTAAATGCATATTCATTATTCTTTTATATTTCTAAGTCTTATCTATTCCTTATTCTCAGCATTTGCATTCAATAAATGGCTTTCGTCACCTTCGGATGTCGGCCAGCACGTGCTTATCCTGGTATTTAGGGAAATAAGGATTGGGACGTGTCACTATTTCATGGGAGGAGGAGGAGGTTAGATAGCTGCTTGAAAACTGTTGCAACTTGAAACTCTCCAGCAGAATACTAGGATCTCACTTAGAGATTAGGTTCCATTTTAAAGTATCAGTATTAACATAATCTTTGGGTTGCTCTTCTTACTTAATTTTAACAAATAATTATGTGGTTTATGTTAGGTGAAGCCTTTACAGCTACAATTGATTTATTTTAAACAGACTCAAAATCCTCCTCCATGTGAGTCCAATAAAACAACTAAAAACTAACCACAAGTTGTGGCTGGCCATACACATCCCCAAAAGAAACAACAATGCTATCTAATTTTAAGATTGTTTTGGTTGATAAATTTGAATTTCATGTTAGATTTTTTATTTTCAATTTTTATCAACCATTTTTCGAATCACTTGATACTACATACCATTAAAAAACAATTTCACTTAGAGAGCAATTTGCAATTTGCATGCACCCACGAATGAAAACTTCCGATATATTTTAGGGTTTTCAATCATTAGTTTCATGATTAAACATATAATTATCAAAATTTAAAGGTTAAAAATCTCAAATACAAGATATTCAATAGCACTATAAAATTTTCCGCCACAGATTAGTTGGTAAGTTAAAAAGATTCAAATAGTTTTTGGGAGGTAACTTTTTTTTATGTTCAACTATGGGTGGTAACTTTTTTTATGGTCAACTTTGGGAAGCACCTCAGCGCACTGCACATACATAAACAAAGCATAAGGGACCGCGTGCAACGGATCTGGATATCTTAACCAGTGTGATAAGATAAAAAATAAGTACAAGGGCAGCTGATATTTGACCAATTTCGACAATTTCATTTTCTCATTATCTTTTCCAATACGGGAAGCAATTTATAAGAATAACGTGTTCTCTCTCACGCTTGGACTGGTTGCCTCCCTCTCATAGTTTCAACTAGAAAGAGAGAGCAGGCTTAAATTCAAGTTCTGTGTGTCAACGGGTGAGATCACAGATGGATTTCTTGAGTTATTGTATTATAATCCCATGTCTTTTATCTCTCTTGTGTTTCTCAGTTCAAGCTCTCAGATCCAATCCCAAAAGGCTTCTTCCACCTGGACCAAAGCCATTTCCCATCATTGGCAATCTCTTGGAGCTCGGCAACAAACCCCATCTCTCTCTCACTAACCTTTCACAACGATACGGCCCCATTATTTCATTGCAACTTGGACAAGTAACCACGGTCGTAGTTTCTTCATCAACCGTGGCAAAGGAGGTCCTCCGAACCCACGACCAGTTCTTGTGCAACCGAACCGTCCCAGACGCAATCCAAGCTTGCGATCTCCGCCAGGACAGCTTGCCCTGGATACCGGTGTCAGAGAAATGGAGAAACCTCCGTAAAATATGCAACAACCAATTGTTTGCAACAAAAGTTCTAGACGCCAACCAAGCCAACCGTCACCTGAAAGTGCAGGAGCTCATCGCCGATGTCAATGAAAGCGTTGTGAAAGGTAAGGCGGTAGAAATTGGGAGGGCTGCTTTTAAGACAACGCTTAATCTGCTGTCGCGTACTGTTTTCTCGGTCGATTTAGCTGACCCGAGAAGTGAGATGGGCAGAGAGTTCAAGGAGATTGTGTGGGGTTTGATGGAAGAGGCAGGGAAGCCAAACTTGGGGGACTATTTTCCTCTGCTTAGGAAACTTGACCCCCAAGGCATTCGACGGCGCATGATCAAACATTTCGTTAAGATTGATTCGCTTTTTGATCGAATGATTACGCAAAGGTTAGAATTGAGAAAATCGAACTATTATGTCACAAGTAATGATATGTTGGATTCTCTCTTGGACGTCAGTGAAGTGAGCAATGAGAATATGGACAAGCTATTGATTGAACATCTGCTTCTGGTCAGTTTTCTAATTTCTAACAACTCATATTCGATATTTTAGGGTGCCTTTGATAATCATTTCGGTTTTTCAGTTATCATTCTGTTCATTAAAATTTACGATTCCATTATTTAGTCGTTGCATTGCTGCAATATGTGTATATATAGGCTCTATTTGTTGCGGGCACGGATACAACTTCAGCCACGTTGGAATGGGCAATGGCTGAACTACTACGCAACCCGGAAAAACTGTCCAAAGCACAAGAGGAACTAGAGCAAGTCATTGGCAAAGGAAAACCAGTTGAGGAATCGGACATTGCTCAACTCCCTTACTTACAAGCAATAATCAAAGAGACCTTCCGGTTGCATCCGGCTACTCCATTACTACTCCCTCGAAAAGCCGAACAAGACATGGAAATTTGCGGGTACGTTGTCCCAAAGGGTGCACAAGTGCTGGTCAATGCATGGGCTATAGGCAGAGACCCTTGCATTTGGGACAACCCGATCTCATTTGTACCGGAGAGGTTTTTGGGATTAGATGATCAAATCGATGTTTTAGGCAAGAATTTTGAGCTCGTTCCGTTTGGTGGCGGGCGGAGAATATGTCCAGGGATGCTATTGGCAATACGGATGCTAAACTTGATGTTGGGTTCACTTATTAACTCATTTGATTGGAAGCTTGAAGATGGAGTTATACCAGAGAACATGAACATGGAGGAGAAGTTTGGCCTCACCTTACAGATGGCTCATCCTCTAAGGCTTGTGCCAAAAGTCCTAATTAATTTGAAATGGTAATTTTATTAACTTTTAATTAGTAATTTTACATTTATGTGGTTGTTTTTAGTTTAAAAGATGCAGCAAGGCATATGTAAAATAACTCAAATGTACTTCATTTTGCCAATGGAAGCTTTCTTTTCTTCTTCTTTGAGGTACACTTTACTATTAGTAGGAGAGATTCAGACTTGAAATATCTTTAAAAAATATTAAAAAAAATAATACCAATAATAGTATTTTATTAGCCACCTATTATTTGGTGTGATAATATTTCCGTCATTGCTCTGGCGCACAATCCAGTTTTTCATGATCGTACCAAACAGGTGGAAGGCGATGTCCATTTGATCCTCCATCATGTCTCTAGCACTGATCAGCTGGCTGACTTGTTGACGAAGGGGTTGCTGTAGGGTAATGGATAACGCTTCTGATGACACATCCACAACAAATAGGAAAGTAATCTCAAACGCTAGAAGATTAGAAAGTAATCTACTCATATTAGGAAAGGAATCCTAATCCTAATCTCATGAGAAAGATAATCTTAATCGTATTAGAAATAAGAAGGAACCATAATCCTTACCTCACCACAAAATCTTAGGGTTTATTCAGTGCAAGTTTATCTGACAACTTCAGTGAATTTTAAGGTTTATTCAGTGCAAGTTTATCTGACAACTTCAGTGAATTTTAAGGTTTATTCAGTGCAAATTGAATGAGTAGGATTTGCTACTTATATAGCCGATTAGCCCGGAAGAAAGATTTTCTTCCTTTAAAGACCCATATAGACAAAGTGAAGCTAAACACCAACTCTTTGCAATCTTCGACACCCACATCTACTTTTGGTGGGAACCATTCCCGTTAGTGGGTTGGTGGGTTCTTATATAATATAGATTCTGAGAGGTTAAATTCAAATCTTTACAGGTGAAGAAAAGAAACAGGTAGTGCCAAATAATACTGGGGTACTATGCTAGCAATCTTCTTACCTAGGAGCTTCTCGTTTTACATTTTCAATTCTCAATTTCATACTGCAATGTTACTTGATAATTCGAGTTGCCTATTTTTTAGGTCATCCTTACAATAAATCAACCGAATTAGAAAGAAAGAAAGTCAACGAATTCATTTATTTATTTCTTCTTCTCTTCTATGATCATCATTAAGAAAATATATTGAGAAAATCTATATATATACATATACATATATACATATATATATATATATATATATATATATATTCTTGCTCCTTGTATTCCAAGCATTATCTCTCTTGTGATAGAAAACTTATGATTGTATTTCTTAATCAATAAGATTACAACAGATGGTTATATATACAACCAATAAACCTATGAAAAATGACAGCTCACCTAACTAATTTACAGATCATGAAAACTAACCATATCAGAAAAGTATCTTCTAAGTTTTATCTTTTACAATATTAGCCTTAATATCCCCCATCAAACTAAACTGAGGGTGTCGAAGAGCAAGTTTATGTCGGAGAAGATGAAACCGAGCCTTGGACAGAGGCTTTGTGCAAATATCAACAAGTAGATCCTGTGTGCAGATGAAATGGACTGAAAGCTCTTTAGATAAACCTTTCTCTCGGATATAGTGGTAATCAAGTTCAACATGCTTGGTCCGAGCATGAAAGACAAGATTCTTAGCAAGATGCATAGCAAAAATATTGTCACACCAGAGCGTAGGAGGAGAGGGAAGTTTCAGACTAACGTCAATCAAAAGCTTGCAGATCCAAGTGAGTTCAGCAGTAGAATTAGTTAGAGAACGATACTCAGCTTCAGTTGAAGAGCGGGCCACAGTAGGCTGTTTCTTAACACTCCAGCTAAGTAAAGAGTTACCTAGAAAAATACAGAAACCACCAATTGATCGTCGATCCAGGTGACAGCAGGCCCAATCAGCATCAGAAAAGGCATTGATGCGAAGAGGTGTGGCAGTTTTAGAAAACCACAGACCAAGCTCAAGAGTACCCTTTAGGTACCGAAGAATTCTTTTGACAGTTTGAAGATATGATTCCCTTGGTTGATGCATGAACTGACACACCAAGTTGACGGCAAATAAAAGGTCAGGCTGAGACCTAGTGAGGTATTGCAACCCACCAACAAGAGATCGATGTTCTGTAGGATCAGATAATAAGGGAGACTCATGATCCATAGAAAAAGTGTTGAGGGGAGTTGCACAAGGTTTGGCATCATCCATTTTGGATTTCTGAAGTAGATCCAAAATGTATTTTGTCTGAGAAATAAAAATACCAGAGGATGATCGTTTTACTTCAATGCCAAGGAAATAGTGAAGAGGGCCCAAATCCTTGATAGGAAACAAAGCACTGAGCTGAGAAATTGTAGCTTGACAAGTTTGAGCATCAGGACCGGTAACAAGGATATCATCAACATATACAAGTATGAATACCAAGGTAGGATCCTTTTTAACAAAAAGAGAATGATCATTCTGTGAACCATGGAAACCAAAAGAGGAAAGAGCAGAATAGAGTTTCTCATACCATGCCCGAGGGGCTTGTTTGAGCCCATACAAGGATTTGTGCAGTCCACAAACATGAGTTGGCTTTGTAAGATCTTCAAAGCCTGAGGGCTGAACCATAAACACAGATTCAGAGAGGTTCCCATGCAGAAAAGCATTGTTGACATCCAATTGATTGAGAAACCAATCGAATTGAGCTGCCATAGTAAGAAGTAACCAAATAGTGACAGGTTTTGCAACTGGAATGAAGGTCTCTGTATAATCTAGACCTTGTTGTTGATGAAACCCTTTTGCAACAAGTTGGGCTTTGTACCGTGCAATAGTACCATATGGGTTCCTCTTGATGTGGAAAACCCATTTGCAACCTACCAAGTTTTGAAAAGGCTGGGATGGATCAAGAGACCAAGTCCCAGTGTTGAGCAAGGCATTGTACTTTTCCTGCATAGCCTGTCGCTAATGAGAGTGTTTGGAGGCTTGTAAGTAGGAATGTGGAATATAGTCTAGGGATAGAGAAGAGGGAAGGGGATGTTTGGTGGCTGTGTAGGCTTTAGGCTTGTGAATCCTAGATTTAGAACGGGTTGGCATAGGGTGATTATTAACCGGAGGTGAATAAGGGTGAGGAACTTGAGGTGGCAGAGAAGGGGATAAGGGTGGGGAAGGAGGAGGTGCATGATTAGGATTAGAAGAAGAGGAAGAAAGGGATTGAGACAGAGATGTGGGAATAGGATTGGTAAAGGTTAAAGATGTGGGAATGAGATTGGGACAGGTACTTAGAAGGGGAGATAGAGAGGGAAAGTTGGGAATGTGATGAAAAGGAAAGTGGAGTTCATCAAAAAGCACATGACGGGAGATATAAATCCTTCTAGTAACAACATTGAGACATTTGTAACCTTTATGTTGCAAACTGTACCCCAAAAATACACAAGGCTGACTTTTTGGATCAAGTTTCGAGTGAACATAAGGTTTTAACCAAGGAAAGCACTTGCAGCCAAATATTTTGAGTGTATGATAATCTGGAGATTTGTGAAAGAGAGATTCCCAGGGAGAACACTTTAAGGCAGTGGGAAGCCGATTAATCAAATATATAGCTGTAGCAAAGGCATCAATCCAAAATTCATGGGGAACTTTAGAGGCAGCAAGAAGGGTTCTTGCGGTCTCAACGATGTGCCTGTGTTTCCTTTCAGCATAACCATTCTGTTCTGGGGTGTGGGGACAGGTAAGTTGATGTATGATACCATGTGTTTTCAAGAAACTGGAGAATTGAGTACTAGTAAATTCCCCACCAGAATCAGATCGCAGAGTCACAATCTTAGTGCACAGAAGATTCTCAACATAGATTTGAATTGAGTAAAAACAATGAAAGCTTCAGACTTGTATTTAAGTGGAAAGAACCAGCAATATTTGGAGAAATCATAAACAAAAATGATATAGTATTGGAAACCTTGAACAGAACTAACTGGTGATGGTCCCCATATATCAGTATGTAAAAGCTCCAAAGGCTTGCTTGATGAATAAGAAACATAAGGAAATGGTAATTTTGAACATTTTCCCATTGCACAACTGGAACACAAAGACTGATGGGAACTACCAGTGAAAGAAATACAAGAAGTTGAAGCAATCTTATTCATTATTCTAGATGAAGGATGGCCTAATCTTTGATGCCATATATCCTGAGAGGCCTTGAATGTTGCTGCAAAAGCATGTTGAGTACCAGCAGAATAAATTGTAGTAGGAAAGGGATAGAATCCATCGCATACAGGTCCCTTAAAAAGCACATTCTCCGAATGAAGGTCCTTCACAAGAAAGTGGAAAGGATACAGATGAACTGAGCATTGATTATCAAGAATGAATTTGTTGGCAGAAAGCAAATCTTGCTTTAATGCAGGAACATGTAAAACATTCTTAAGATTAAAGCAGTGAGTATTAGTAGAGACACGAGAAGAGCCGAGATGAAGAATAGGCAAACCTTTGCCATCGCCAATGTAGACCTGTTCAGGACCAGAGTAGGATTCAGGATTTTGCAGTTTTGCATAGGAGTTTGTCATGTGAGAAGAAGCTCTAGAATCAAGCAACCAAGTGTGTTAAGATGGAGAGGTAGTAGCATAGAAAGCAGATTGGGATTGAGCACCAAAATTAGGGTTGAGGCGCTGAGAACACTCCATAGCTTCATGGTCAAATTGCTTGCAAATTTGACAAGTCAGTCTTCTGCCAGAGTAAAGGAATTTGAGTTGTTGTTGAATCTGAAGCCACAATTCTGAGAATATCGCTGATTATTAGGCTTGGTGTAGTGATTACGTTGATTGTTACCCCTGAAATTTCCTCGATTCTGTGAATTTCGGAGATGCGAGCCACGGCCTTGATTGGAAGAAAAATTGGAGGAACTCTGAGCAATGTAAGCCTGAGAATTAGGAGGATCAGTAGGTGTAGGCAAAATACCAGTAGAAGTATTGAAGGCTTGGATCGGTGTAGAGGAAAATTTCTTCCGATTTTCGATTTGAATTTCTTTGCTCAACAAAAGACCGTGTAGTTCATCAAGAGTTGTAGAAACAACTCGGAATTGAACAGCATCACCAAATGAGTCAAATTCAGGAGGTAAACCATGAAGTGTGACAGAGATTAACTCATAATCATCAACCGGAGCACCAGCGCTGGCCAAAGTGTCAGCAATTTCTTCAATCCGTTGAAGAAACAAGGCGGCGGAGGACTCACCTTTGGTAATGGTGCGAAGCCGAGATCGGAGCTCATGAATGTGAAAGTGCGACACCGTCGCAAGTCTTGATTAAAGTTTAGACCAGAGCTCGCGAGAAGAATTGACACCAACAATATAAGGAATCAATGAATCAGAAAGAGTCGAATTTATCCAAATTAGGATATTCTGATCATTTTCATACCAAGAAACAAAATCAGGATTCAAGGTAGAAGTGCGATTTTCAGAGGTATCATAGAGATACTTCGGCGGAGCCACCTGAGATCCATCGACAATGCTGGTGAGATTATAGCGCTGGAAGATCGGAGCAAATAGCGCACTCCAGGTGAGATAGTTGGTGGTAGTGAGCTTAATCAGCACCATTGAACCAATATTCTGGATGGTAATGGAAAAAGGTGACGAAGAAACGGCTGGAGAAGGAGGAGAAAGAGAGACATTATCAGAGGAAGGAGATGCAGACGCCGCCATTGATGACGATTAGGGTTACAATTTGGGGAAGAAAGAGGCGGTGCGAAAGCAGGTTAGGGAAAGGATCGAGAGAGAGTCGTGAGATAGATGGCGAGAGATACCATGATAGAAAACTTATGATTGTATTTCTTAATCAATAAGATTACAACAGATGGTTATATATACAACCAATAAACCTATGAAAAATGACAGCTCACCTAACTAATTTACAGCTCATGAAAACTAGCCATATCAGAAAAGTATCTTCTAAGTTTTATCTTTTAAAATATTAGCCTTAATATCTTGTTTATTGTCTTTTGTTTCTACAATCTTGGCTTCTGCATTGCGGTTCATCATTTTCGTGTTCTTGAGGAATGCAACAAGTCCTGCAAGCACATTATCGGCATCTTCACTTTTCATGAACTGCAATCTCTACAGGATCAGTCACCTCCAGCTACTTTATCAATTCTTCAATTTCGTCGGAGGGATAGTGAGTTCTTGTTCCAAGGTAGTTAGAAGCAAGGATCTTGAATCCACTTGGTGTGCAGTACGACATGTTAATGTGCATATTCATCCGCCCTGGTCTCAACAATGCAGGATCTAGTTTGTCCATGATTATCCTCTCATCTCCGCAGCTTGACAACAGCCCATCGATGAAATTAAGGAACCCCGATAGAGTTAACTGTCGAAAACAGACAACTTATTTAGAACAGAATCATAGATAAAATTTCTTGTATAGGTAAAATCACTTTCATGATGAAAGTTTCATCTTACCTGGCTGTCGTTGTTGCTGACTCCACGTTTTCGGTCACTAATTCCAGTGCTGCAATCAATATCTTTGATTACGAGTATCGGTTGATTTGCAGTGGAGACTAACGGCTTCCTGTGCTCGGAGTTGCTACTCATTTGCAAAAGCTCAAGTCATCAACGTCAAGCTGGACTTTCTTGTACCGGGAGGACCATACAACAAGTATCCACTTTTCCATGCCTTGCCTACTCTCCCGTAAAACTCCTTTCGCTTCACGAACCTCACCAAGTCATCGATCAACTCTTCCTTAAGCTTGGGATCCATTGCCAATGTGTCAAAAGTAGACGGATGATGAAGGACGACAGAGCCCCATGGACCTGCATTGTATTCCAGTAAAGTTTCCGAGAGCATGAAGCCTCACCGCCTTGTTTTCATGTTGTAGGGCTTTTGATCTCTCTACTACATACGTCAGGTAAGCGTTCAGCACCTTTTCTCTGTATCTTTTATGGAAACTGACCTGAATTGATTTGTTCTCAGACACTTCTAGTGAGGTGGATTTCAGCTCGTAGTCAAATTCCAATCTTCGCGTTTCAGTACAACAGAAATTCCATACCAACTTGATTCCTTCGAATCCATCAATGAGCTTTTCGCCTTTGTTGATGGTGATGGATAAATTGTTCTGTTGCGCAGACTTGGAGACCTTGAGCTGTTCGACAGAAGGGGTGATCCTTGTGCTCAAGTAGGTTTCGGAAGCCTGGTAAATTTCATTGACAGAGATGTCGCTGAACTCATCAATGATGAGAGTCGCTTGAGAATTAGGAAGAGGTTTCCGAATAGGCCTCTGAGTGTGGCCATGATTCAGTCGTGGAGTTTTCGGGGTATGAACTGGTTGGCTCTGGTCTGGACCTCATTGATCACTGTCCTGGCCAGCATTGCTCCTGCAGCAAAAGTTTTGTAGCTTGATATGACTGATGTCGTTGAAGGCATGTTTGCTAGAGAAAACATCTTTCAATGTATGAGTTTTTATATTTGCTGGTTTGTTGAGTTGAGTTCGAAATATTGGTGAAGGGATTTCATGGAAAATGTGGAAAAAGCAGCTTCCACATGAAGCTGTTTGACTAAAATTTGTTCAAGCCAATTCAATCTTCCAGATGAGAGAAACAAGCTTCTCAAGCAATTTTCACTATAAAAAAAGACCAAGAAAAAAAGCCGAGTCGACTTTGGTGGACAATCTCATAATCTGTTATCTATAACAATAATATTATTTAGACGTATAGAACTGACACTCTGTAAATACAAGTGGATTGCATCATTGTATGTTTATTTTTTAGAGTGTGTATGTACATTACTCTATCTATAATTTCATTTTAAAATTTTGGTTCGACATTTTGAAATAACTTATACGTGAATTGATGAGAGATAGAGATAATGGAATCATTTTACAGTAAAATCTCTCCCTAGTATGCCGTTGTGGCATTTTTGACTTATCAAGCATCATTACGTGTTTTTAAATTTATGAGATGACATTACGTAATTGATCTCAGTTACTGCAAAATTGGCGTCCCCGTTTTCATGGGAGGAGGAGGTTAGATAGTTGTTTGAAAACTGTTGCAACTTCAAACTCTCTTAGAGATTGTATCCCATTTCAAAGTGTCAGTACTAACATATTCTTTTGGTTGCTCTTCTTACTTAATGTTAATTTATGTATGGTGTTTTTTTTAAGTCGAATTATATATATGAAGCCTTTACAGCTACAATTGATGTATATATTAAAGAGACTTAAAAGCCTTCTCCGTGTGAATCCAATAAAACAACTAAAAACAACCACAAGTTGTAGCTGGCCATACGCATCGCCTAAAGAAACACCAACGCTAAGTAGTCTTACGAGTGTGTTTGTCGTTAGATTTGATTTTCACAATTGTTAGATATTTACTTTTAATCTCAACTAACAATTTTTCAAATCACTTGATGCTACGTAGCATTAAGAACAATTCCACTTAGCGAACAATTTGCATTTTACATGCACCCACATATGAAAATTTCCCCATCAACTTTCATGTCATTTAGTTACAAAATTTTATTTATAAATTTAATTTCCCTTGCATAAACTACCAAGTACAAGGCCAGCTGATATTTGATAAATTTCCCCAACAATTCTCATTATCTTCTCAGATACAAAAGCAGGCCAGCTGATATTTGACAAATTTCCCCAACTCCAAATTCTCATTATCTTCTCGGATACAAAAGCAATTTATATGACACTAGTAGAGTAACGTGTCTCTCTCTCTCTCTCTCTCTCTCACGCTTGGACTGGTTGCCTCCCTCTCAAATTTTCAACCAGAAAGCGAGAGAAGGTTGTAAATTCAAGTTCTGTGTCAACTGGTGAGATCACAGATGGATTTCTTGAGTTATTGCTTGATAATCCCATGTCTTTTTTCTATCTGGTATTTCTCAGTTCAAGCTCTCAGATCCAATCGCAAAAGGCTTCTTCCACCGGGACCAAAGCCATTTCCCATCATTGGCAATCTCTTGGAGCTCGGCAACAAACCCCATCTCTCTCTCACTAACCTTTCACAACGGCCCCATTATTTCTTTGCAACTCGGACAAATAACCACGGTTGTAGTTTCTTCATCAACCGTGGCAAAAGAGGTACTCTGAACCCACGACCAGTTCTTGTGCAACCGAACCATCCCCAACGCAATCCAAGCTTGCGACCTCCGCCAGGACAGCTTGCCCTGGATACCCGCATCAGACAGATGGAGAAACCTCCGTAAAATATGCAACAACCAATTGTTTGCAACGAAAGTCCTCAACGCCAACCAAGCCAACCGCCACCTGAAAGTGCAGGAGCTCATTGCCGATGTCAATGAAAGCGTTGTGAAAGGTAAGGCTGTAGAAATTGGGAGGGCTGCTTTTAAGACGACCCTTGTCACATCCCGGCCCGGGGCGGACTACTTTTCGGGCCCGCTCCATCACCGTAGCACGATATTGTCCGTTTTGGGTCCCGATCACGCCCTTACGGTTTTGTTTCTGGGAACTCACGAGCAACTTCCCAGTGGATCACCCATCATGGGAGTGCTCTGGCCACCTTCTCGCTTAACTTTGGAGTTCCGACGGAACCCGAAACCAGTGAGCTCCCAAAAGGTCTCGTGCTAGGTAAGGATGTGAATATACATTTAAGGATCACTCCCCTAGGCGATGTGGGATGTCACAATCCACCCCCCTTAGGGGCTCGACGTCCTCGTCGGCACACTTCCGGCCAGAGATTGGCTCTGATACCATTTGTCACATTCCGACTCAGGGCGGACTACTTCCTGAGCCCGCTCCACCATCGTAGCACGATATTGTCCGCTTTGGGCCCCGATCACGCCCTCACGATTTTGTTTCTGGGAACTTACGAGCAACTTCTCAGTGGGTCACCCATCATGGGAGTGCTCTGGCCACCTTCTAGCTTAACTTCGGAGTTCCGACGGAACTCGAAGCCAATGAGCTCCCAAAAGGCCTCGTGCTAGATAGGGATGTGAATATACATTTAAGGATCACTCCCCTGGACAATGTGGGATGTCACAACCCTCAATCTGCTGTCGCGTACTGTTTTCTCCGTCGATTTGGCTGACCCGAGCAGTGAGGTGGGAAGAGAGTTCAAGGAGATTGTGTGGGGTTTGATGGAAGAGGCAGGGAAACCAAACTTTGGGGACTATTTTCCTCTGCTTAGGAAACTTGACCCCCAAGGCATTCGAGGGCGCATGATCAAACATTTTCTAAAGATTGATTCGCTTTTTGATCGAATGATTACGCAAAGGTTAGAATTGAGAAAATCGAACGATGATGTCACAAATAATGATATGCTGGATTCTCTCTTGAACATCGGTGGAGTAAGCAATGAGGATATGGACAAGCTATTGATTGAACATCTGCTTCTGGTCAGTTTTCTACTTTCTAACAACTCAGATTCGGTATTTTAGGATGCGTTTGATAAACATTTTGGTTTTTCAGTTATCATTCGGTTCATTAAAATTTACAATTCCATTATTTAATCATTGTATTGCTGCAATATGTTTTTATAGTCTCTATTTGTTGCGGGCACGGATACAATTTCGGCCACGCTGGAATGGGCAATGGCTGAACTACTACGCAACCCGGAAAAACTGTCAAAAACGCAAGAGGAACTAGATCAAGTTATTGGCAAAGGAAAACCAGTTGAAGAATCGGACATTGCTAGACTCCCTTAATTACAAGCAATAATCAAAGAGACCCTCCGGTTGCATCCGGCTGCACCATTACTACTCCCTCCAAAGGCCAAACAAGATGTGGAAATTTGCGCGTACATTGTCCCAAAGGGTGCACAAGTGCTGGTCAATGCATGGGCTATAGGCAGATACCCCTGCATTTGGGACAACCCGACCTCATTTGCACCGGAGAGGTTTTTCAGATTAGATGATCAAATCGATGTTTTAGGCAAGAATTTTGAGCTTATTCTGTTTGGTGGCGGGAGGAGAATATGTCCAGGGCTGCCATTGGCGATGCAGATGCTACACTTGATTTTGGGTTCACTTATTAACTCATTTAATTGGAAGCTTGAAGATGGAATTATACAAGAGAACATGAACATGGAGGAGAAGTTTGGCCTCACCTTACAGATGGCTCAACCTCTTATTTGATATGGTAATTGTATTAACTTTTAATTTGTAATTTTTTTATTTATGTGGTTGTTTTTGGATTAAGAGATGCACCAATGCTTCTGTAAAATAACACAAAATTTGTTGTGGCAAAAAGGGAATTAGATTAGAAAGAAAGAAAGTCAACGAGTTATTCTTTCAACAACAAAATCCTAATCCCTTTTGTAGGTGTTGTTGCTAATTTTTGTCGTTGAACTTGATATTTCCTTCAACATTGGCGCCAACGAGTTATTCTTTGACTAAAGTTAGAGGTTATCAAAAAGATAAAAAGGTTTACTTAAGACCGAATCTTATTGGATTTATCTAGAGATAAAAATAAAATGTTTAATTTCTTGATTTTCTTGTTACTCAAAAGTTCATAGAGCTCGTTTGATAACTATTTTTTTTCTTCTTCTGGGTTTCACGTTTTATGTTAGTGACAGAAGGAAATCCAATTGGTTTGTATTGCACATTAATAATTTAGAATTATGACTTGTATTCCAAGCATTATTTCTCTTATTCGTTGTCTTCTTTTGTTTCTTCAATCTTGGCTTCAGCATTGCAGTTCATGGTTTTCTTGTCCTTTGAGGAATGCAACAAGTCCTTATCGGCATCTTCCCTTTTCATGAACTGCAATCTCTGCAGGAGTCACCTCCAGCTGCTTTAAGAATTCTTCAATTTCGTCGAAGAGATGGTGAGTTTTTGTTCCAAGGTAGTTAGAAGCAAGGATCTTGAATCCACTTGGTGTGCAGTAGGGCATGTGAATGTGCATATCCATGCACCCTGGTCTCAACAATGCAGGATCTTGTTTCTCCTCTCATATCCGCAGCTTGACCACAGCCCATTGATGAAATTAAGCAACACCGATAGAGTTAACTGTCAAAAACAGCAATCTCGATTTTGATCACACTTTGCTCCATGAAACTCAAAAGCCAATTTACTCCCTAGAACTCGATTTTGATCACACTTTGCTCTCCGAAACTCAAAACTCGTCTTTTTATTTCTTAAAACTCAAAATTCGCTCTACATTGCCTTGTTTTTAGAATAAGTTCATCTATTTAAAATTCATAATTAGTAATATGTCAAATTTTCGTTGAAATAAATTAATAGTAAAAAAGAACAAAACATCTTCTCTTCATCAACTACCTCCATTAATTGCATAAGAACATTTCCCAAAAACAAAACCAATGGAATTAATGATAAGGTGGCTAGAGATGGAGAGAGAATGGATGAATGTATGGACAAAGATTAGAGAGTGTAGACAAGGGCAGTTAGGATGAGTTGTTATCATTTAATTGTAATTTGTATTGAATTGTATTGTATAGCTGCTACAAGACCCCTATATTCTGTAGACCTCTTGGTGTATAAAGCCTTGTAAAGTTTACCTAAAGTTTAATGAAAATATGAAACTTCACATGGTATTGAGCCTCTTATCCCTTTTTTTTTTCATGGCTTCCGCAACTTCCTCTCCTACATCTCCAATCCCTAATATCTCTACACTAGTTTCTGTCAAACTTTCTGAGCCTAATTACTTACCTTGGGAAAGTCAAGTTAAGCCATTCTTGATTGGCCAAAACCTTTGGCGTTTTGTAGATGGAACCCACCATTGCCCTCCTCCCTTTATCACCACCACCACTCATGCAGCTTCACCAAATACCTCTGCTGATTCCGACTCCTCCACAGTGGTGCCTTCTGTGACTACTAGTGTTCCCAACCCCGATTACCTGGTGTGGTACTAGACTGATCAAAACTTGTCAGCACGTTGTGTGCTACGCTTACAGAGCCTGTTTTCTCTTTGACTGTCGGGTTGTTTACTTCTCGTGAGATTTGGGAGCATCTTCGTCAAAAAAATTCTCAACAATCCCTCACCAACTCTACCCATACTCGGTTTCAGTTGTTGTCTCTTCAGAAAGGTACTAAAACGATTTCAAAATATCTTGGTCTTGCCAACATTTGGCAAATCAATTGGCTTCTATTGACCAACCTGTTCAGAATGATGATTTGGTGACTTATGTACTTAATGGCTTGGGGCCTGAATATGAGATTCTTGTCTTGGTGCTGACCAACTTTCCTCCACTACCGTCATTCAACGATTTACGTGCTCATCTTTTAGTTTATGAATCCAAACATGTTATGACTCAAGTTGTTTTGGCTTCCTATGCTTTCTACTCCGCACGTAATTCTGATGGTAATTTCTCTCAGGGACATGCTGGTTCACCCTCCCGCCATCATGGCACTTTAAGTGGCAATCGGCATCTTCGTACGTATGGTGGTGGCCGTTCTACTATGCATGGTGGTGTTGGCCGATATGGTTAGCGTGCTGCACAACAACAACCTGGCATCCTTGGACCAGGTCTTGCTACTCGTGGCCCTCAATGTTGGGCATGCAATCAATTTAGTCATATAGTTGTGTTGTGTCCTCAAGCAACTTGTTCTGATGATGATATCTCTCGAGCTTTCGCTGGCATGCACATTACTTCCCCCTCTGATCCTACATGGTATCCAAACATTGGTGCTACTCACCATATGACAAGTGACTCTAGCTCCATTACTTCGGCTATGGGGTATGGTTCTAATGACAAGGTTGTTATGGGTAATGGTGAGACCCTCCCTATTGCGCACACTGGTAAAATTTCCTTTAAGTCCAGGTCATTCATTTTTTGGTTATCCCAAGTTTCGCATGTTCTAGCAATTGAGAAAAATTTATTGTCAGTTACTAAGTTTACACATGATAATCTTGTTAGTCTAACGTTCTTTCCATTGGGTTTTGTCATACGTGACTTAAATACGGGTGTTGTTCTTTTTCAGGGCCCATGTGAAGATGGTCTTTATCCCATTAAGCTTGGTCTTGCTTCTAAAAATGGTTATACTGCCAAACATGTTTTTGTTTCCATTTTACGTCACCCTCACTCTGGCATCGTCGTCTTGGGCATCCCTCCCATCAAGTTCTTAGTGTGTTAGCATCTAGTGATGTATTAGGCTCGTCTTTTACTGCCTCCACTAAAGATTTTTGTAATCACTGTGCGTTGGCTAAATCCCATCACCTAGCATTTACATCGTCAGAACACTATGCTATATCTCTTTTTGAATTAATACATTCTGATGTTTGGATGTCTCCTATTGTGTCGGTGTTGAGTTTTTGTTACTATGTCTTGTTTGCAGATGATTACACACGATACACATGGATTTATCCCATGTGTAAGAAGTCTGAGTTGCCAGCTAGTGATGTGGCTCATGCTCCTTCCTCAGGACCTCACACACAGTCCAAGTCTGGAATTTTCAAACCCAAAACCAAAGCATACTTTGCAAGTCGTCATCCTATTCCTTCTACAATGGCTGCCTTTGTTGAATCCGATAAGGAGCCCACTTGTTTTACACAGGCCTCATAGTCTCCTAAATGGCACCAGGTTATGTTGGATGAGTTCAATGCGTTGCTCAAACAAGGTAGATGAACTGTAATTCCTTATGTTCATTATGCTAACACTTTCGGATGTAAATGGGTGTTAAAAAAAAACATCATTCTGATAGATCAATAGAGCGTTACAAGGTGCGTCTTGTCGTCAAAGGTTTCCATCAATAGCCTGGGGTTGATTACTTATGAACCTTTAGTTCTGTTGTGAAGCCTACCACGATTCAAACCGTGCTCAACCTTGTTGTGTCCTTTGGTTGGCCGATACATCAACTTGACGTGAAGAACGCATTTCTCCATGGTTCACTTATAGAAGAGGTTTATATGACCCAACCACCTGGATTTGTTGATCCCAATCGTCCCAATTATGTTTGTAAGCTTCGAAAAGCCATCTACGGTCTTAAACAAGCTTTGCGAGCTTGGTTTCAACGCCTAAACACCTTTCTCATTCATGTAGGCTTTGTTCAAAGTCAGGCCGATAGTTCGATGTTTACATATCATCATGGCTCCACTATCCTTGTTTTTCTTTTATATGTGGATGACATCATTTTAACAGTTAATTCCTCTCCCTTGATTCAATCCTTTATCTAAACTTTGAGCACTGAGTTTGAACTAAAGGATCTCGACAAGCTGCACTATTTCCTTGGCATAGAGGTATCTTATTTATCCAATGGCATTCACTTGTCTCATAACAAATATACTTTGGAGTTATTACAACGTGGTGACTTATTAGAGTGTAAACCTTGTTCCACACCTATAGCAGCCAAGACTCAACTTTTTGCACACACCGGTGCTCCATTCTCAGATCCATCTCTTTATCGGTAGCTTGTGGGTTCTTTGTAGTATCTTATGTTAACTCAGCCGGATATTTCCTTTGCTGTACAAAATGTTTCTCAGTTTATGGGTCATCCTACTAATGCCCACATGGAGACGATTAAGCAAATATTGCATTATCTTCAGGGCAGCTTGAGTATAGGATTTCGCTTAACTTTGTCTTCACAACCGTTTCATCTCATTGCTTATTCTGATGCAGACCGGGCACGATGCCTTGACACATATCGTTCCACCACTGGCTTTTGTATTTTTCTTGGTGACAATCTAATTTTTTGATGTGCTAAGAAACAATGGACGGTCTCTTGATCTAGTGCCGAAATGGAGTATCGGGCTCTTGCCTTTGCATGTGCTGATTCTATTTGGATAATGGGTCTTTTGCGTGAGCTTCGTGTACCAATCTTTGAGCCAATACTGGTGCATTGTGACAATTTGAGTGTCATATATATGGTTGCTAATCCGGTCTTTCATGCTCACACAAAACACATTACTTTGGATTATCATTTCGTCCGGAACGTGTTGCTTCAGGAACTCATCATGTTCACTTTCTTCCTTTTGTTTCGCAACTGGCTAATTTTTTACGAACGGTTTCCCGAATACGCGTTTTCAGTCCTTATGTTCCAAACTTGTCTCCTCTCCGGCGTCAAGTTTGCGGGGGAGTGTAGACAAGGGCAGTTAAGATGAGTTGTTATAATTTAATTGTAATTTGTATTTAATTGTATTGTATAGCTACTACAGGACCCCTATATTCTATAGACCTCCTGGTGTATAAAGCCTTGTAAAGTTTACCTAAAGTTTAATGAAAATCTGAAACTTCACACAGAGCAATGGGAAAAAGAGGGGTCAGAGTCGGAGAGATGAAACCTAGGAATATTTTTTGCTATTTTTTAAAATATATTA